CACCAGGGGGGTTCCTTTTTTGTGGGAAGGGGGTGGTGTGTTTTTTTTTAAAAAAAAAAAAAATTTTCGGGTTTTTAAAAGGGGGGGGGGGGGGGGGTGGGGGGCCCCCCCATTTAACATTTAATTTGGGGAACCCCTTTCGGTAAAGGGCCGGGGGGGGAAAAAAAAATTCCCCGGGGGGGGGGGGAGAAACCCCCTTTTAGGGAGCCCGGAAAAAAGCCCCCCCCTTTGGGCGGGTTTGAAGAACCCCTGCCCGCGCCCCCCCCCCCGGGTTTACCAATTCCCGCCTCGGTTTGCGCCCCCCCCATCCCCCAATTCCCCCCCCCCCCCCCCCCCCTTCCCTTCACGTGCTCAACTTGGTGACTTCCATGATGACGCACCACCCAGCACGCTAGCGGGAGCGGAGCTCCTGTACGCGTCGCTGTTCTGCAACGGCGACGTGGACGTTGCCCGGACGGCCCTGACCTTCAAGGCGTCCAGCTCTCTCCGGGGGAACAGGCGCTTCGACTTCGGGTACCGCCTCGGTGCCGCGACGGTGCTCCTGGTAAGCAGAAGTACACAGCACTGCCACGTGCCTGTGGTGTCGGCTTGGTGCATCGTCGAGGCCTCCGACTGACAAATGAAAAATGGCGCCGGTCAATTTTGTGCTCGTGGTGGATTGTTTCGTGTGTGCTTGAAAAGGCACTTCCAGGTTGCCGAAGTCAGCCCACCGTTCTCCTGTTCTGTGAACGCGTTTTTTTTTTTTTTTGTTGGAAACGAACCAATGGCGCCCTCGGACGAATTGATTTTGAGCCCACTGGTGTCTAAATGCTGAGAGCACGCCCCTCACAGTAAAGCGACGAACAGAGCGAAACATGCCAGTTTTTGCAGATGCGCAGGCATCGATGTTCCTGCATGTGCAGTCGAAAGACATTTGTTTTCACCCCACGGTTTTCGCCTGTCTTGCGGAAAAAAGAATCGGTCTCTTGCCTCTTGTTTTGCTGGGTGCTGGGTGCAGTCAATACTAAAAAAAAATGCTACTATTCATTAGTATTAAATAGACGTCAACAACAAAACACATATTATTAGTATTAATAGACGCCAAGAACGAAGGAAGATAACAATTTTCATGTCCATTTTTCTTTTCGTTTCAAGCATGAGCAAAAGTGGCAGCTAAAAGCCAGAAAAAAGTTGGATTGTTTCATTTCAAGCACGAACACAATGCCAGAAACATCTAACGGAAACGATGACAACGAACGATCGCAGGCGTGGGCGATGTGGGACTGCATCGCGGACGACTCGTTGGGCAAGGACGTGTGGCACGACCCGGCCTTCAAGATCTACCGCGGGCTAGGCAACCTTGTCCTCCTCGTGTACATGTGGGGGGTCAACATCTGGGTAAGAGAGAGAGAGAGCGTGAGGTGGGGGGATGGAAAGGAGAGATAGAGGCATAGAGATAGAGATATAGAGACAGAGAGACACAGAGAGAGAGAGAGAGAGAGAGAGAGAGAGAGAGCGAGAGAGGCAGAGACAGAGACAGAAGGGGGAGTGTGAGAGAGACAGACAGACAGACAGACAGACAAATGGAAGACAGAAAGAATGAGAGACAGTGGCAGTGGCAGAGAAAGGAGGAGGGAGGGAGGTGGGAGATCGAGAGGGTAGAGTTGGAGTTGTGTTATTGTTGTGACAACAGAGTCCAGTGTTGTTCGTGCTGGCAGCAAGAGTTTGAACTATTATAGACAAGTCTATCGCCTATTGTGCGGTCCAGCTTCCGCAGTGTGGTTCATGCTGGTCACATCTCGTCAAGAACCACTCCTGAGGGCGAAACATCTCAGGTACACGCCCTCTTGGCGATGTGTAAACGTGGTCTGTGTGTACGCCACATGTGTGGTCACGAACCAACCTCACCTCCAAACGCGTCGTCTATCAAAATGGGTACTCGACGCACCACGGGCGTTCCGATTTCTTATTCTGACTTCGTTTTTCTGTCGTTTTTCTGTCGTTTTTCCAGGTTTGGAGGCGTTTCGGCATCGACTACGAGAGGTGCCTGTCCCTGGATCCTAAGGGTCCGCGCGTGGACCCTTGCGAGCAGGTGAGAGGAAAGCCTCCCTCCGACAGCAGCAGTGTTGTAGTGTTGTCGGGTTACGCGACGGACGGAAGCACTTGCTAGGCACACGAAAGAAGCATGCCAGTCGCGCGTCTCGCTACCCCACGTTCGCGGGACCCCCCTCCCCCCCCCCCCTTTTGTTTTTTCCTTTACTTCAAATCAGTGCTCACAGAAGTTGAACCGTTTACTCCCACCCGTGGTCACACAGAACGGTTCCTGGACGAAAAGACATAGGGGAGACAGACACAGGCAGACGTGACTTTCAGCGCTGGAGCTAGGGGAGAGAATGGCTTTTACACATAGATACGATATGACAGAGATTTGCGGAACGGCACTGAGGAGTGGTGTCTATCTTGCGTGGCCTGCGGGATGATCGAGAGTGCCGTGTCACGTCTCAGCGGTGTCTGGGCAATCCCGACTCCTTCCCGCTTTTGTTCATCTTCTTCGTCCAAACAAAATAATCGTTTGTACTCTAGTTGCGTGTGGTGTTTTTTTCGGCCAACCAGTGCTCAAGAATTGTACAAGTAGACTCAAGAGTGATATGATCTCCAAGCAAGGTGGTTTTGTTGGGACACGGGCCTCCCTTCCGTCGTCCGGTGGTATTATGTGCGAGATGTGACCGCCCTCATACACTCTACGCTGCTTCTTAGCCTTTTTGTGACCAGCGCTGTCTGTTTCTGCTAAATAGCTAGAGCGAAAAGGTTGGATGGATGCCTAACAACATTGTTGGCGCTATTTTCCCCGCCCCCCGTCTTTTGCGATTTTCTATGGGCCAAATAAGGTGTGGAACGCCGGGTGCAACCTGAGCATCGCCTTCCTGGTATCGTTCATCTGCTTCTACAAGTGCCTCAGGGGGGTCCTGCTCAACCCCACGTGGGTGCCGATACAGTTCGCGCACACGTTCCCGCTGCTGCTGCTGTTCTACATGCTGCTGTGCTTCCTGGTGAGCGCCGCAGCCCTCAGCCTACCGTGATACGATTCGTTTCTACTACACCCCCCTTCATGATCTAAGGATTACGGTATTCATGGCTACGAGTACACCCCTTCCCCTCCCCTCGTCTATGGCGACACGCGTTCAAGGACGTGCCATGGAAGTGTGCCGTGAACATGATACACACCATGACATTTTGCTGTATTGGCGCATGTTGTGCGTCGTGTGTCCCACGAAAAAGTGTCAGTACCGTAGGAGGGGTGGGTAAGGGTTAACCCTCCTGACCACGGATTGTTGGAGCACCCCAACCAGGCAGAGAGCGCTGATCTATAGCGATGAAAACAGCACTCCGAGAAACGGCTTCCGGTGCCCGCACCAGTCTCGTGCAGAACGTCATGGTAAGGTCGATGAGGCCCGAACGGTGGCGGCATCCCTGCAAGGGGCAGAAAACGATACTCAAACATGGGGTGGAGGCCGGCAGGGATGCGTGGCGACTGGTGGAGCCAGTTGGGCACGAAGAGATTGTTGATCACACCACCCTTCTCCGCTCCAAGCGACTGACCAGCGCCGCCTGTTGCGTCGCACGCGGACAACACCCGCTTCGTATCAGACACCTTGGCACGAACGGAAGGGTCTCCTGCGAGTCCTGTGGACGACGATAATCTCGCCCTTTGGACAGGTCCGATTCCTGGAGGGCTACGTGGGCGATATCCTTACCAGGTGCATTTGGTGTTCCTTGCTTGGTCGCTGGTGCGCCATGCAGTGGTGCTGTGGACGTGTTTTTTTCATGCTGAAACGGCGACAGCAGTGGTACGGTCGATTGTAACGAAGAATAATCGGAGACGCTCGGCATGGCGACGAGCATAATGACCAACGAGTCTTCGCGAAAGGCATTTCCTTCTGTATTTTACAAGATATCGTACAGAAATAGTCTCCTCCAAGAGATATATATATATGTAGATCTAACCCTCGCGCTCAAGTTGTAGACGTTAAGGAGGACGTGGCCAGGTGGTGTCTCGGGCTGTTACTGTTACTGTTACTGTTACTGTTACTGTTACAGGAGCACCAGGTGCAGTACATATCTGACCGCGGCACAGCCAACAAACGATACGGAAAGAGCCGAAATGAGTTGATCAAAGCACCGGCGGTGTACCTGTGCGTCTTACCGTAGGCACTGGGTAAGAACACGGGAGTATCCGTGCACCACACACACATGTACAAGTGATTTAGGCGTCGTGGTGCCTGCAGGGCGCAGCGTTGCTGTGACATCAGGGTCGACGGACGATCGTTTTTTCACCCACCCGCTGCAACGTTTTCCTTTTCCTTCTCCCCACCCCCACCCCCACCCCCTCCTATCCTCCCCTCCCTCTCTTTGTGTGTGTCGATCTGTTCGCCCCGCCCTCCTGTCAACAGCGTTGTGAGGGTGCTGATCGACGTGGCTTTCGCGTTCCTCTACTTCCTGTCGGGCGTGAGAGGCTGGCTCGGCAACGGCCTTGACCTCTCGAACGATCCCATCAGCAGCGACCCCTGGTTCCAGAACCTGCTGGTGCCGTTGCTGATGGTTGCGCCACTGTGGTGGCGTTTCCAGCAGAACCTCCGGAGATCGTACGAGACCAGACAGAGGTAGGTCACTAACCGCGCACGGTTGGAATCTCCGAAATCTCCGATTTTTTTTTCAAGGAGTCTCCCTCCGTTTTGGCCGCGGAGATCGCCATACACCAGGGAGAAGGTGTTCGAATGTGCAATGCTGAACCCTTCTCCCTTCGAAGATGGCGGCGGCAAGCACTCTCCTGTTCGCCCAATGGGCCAACCAACTGGACCAACTACCCAGTCAGCGTTACATAGCGCATCGGACAAACGGTGCGCCGCAGAGGAGTCAATCTGTGTGGCCCCCGATCGGATGAGCTCTCTCAGGTTGGAGGGTTTCCTTTTCTCGGTCGTCCTCCTTCAGCCATCTCAACATAGTCACGCCAGGACAGAGGCCATGGCATGAGAGGTGCTTGGTGTGCGGGCTTTGCCCACAGCTGCGGCTAACCGAGAGTGCTGAGGTAACGCGCTCGCCCCAAGCCCCTTGTTAAAAGACCCTAACCCCGAAGCCCTTTTTTCATAACTGTATACCGCCGACACCGGCACATTTTATCTCCTCAACACTTGGCTTTCACAGGTGGCCGCACCTGGGGAACGCGCTCAAGTACGCGACGGCCATGTCGGTGTCGCTGTTCGGCACCTTCCAGCCGCAGATGAAGAGCAGCTGGGTGTGGGTCTTCTGCTTCGTGTTCGCCACGCTGTACCAGTTCTCGTGGGACGTGGTGATGGATTGGGACCTGCTGAGATGGTGAGCATTCGTTTCTTTGCTGCTGTGGTGCGTGTTGCTACCGTACGTGCGGCGGGTTGTAGGCATGTACCAGGTACTCGGGAGTATATGTTGGGCGACTTCCCCGCGGAGTCGCAGTCACCACACGCACGACGAGCTCATTCAACCCTCCTGTCCGCCTACCTTCCCACTGTGTAATTTCTCTGCTGCCCCCCCCCCCCCCCCGGAAAAAAACCCCTTTCCACCGAATTGAGCCGGGACGGGAAATCCCTCCCCTTGGGCCCCCCCTTGGTCTACCCCAACAAAAACCTGTACACCAACGTGGCAGTGGGGAACCTGCTCCCTTCATTCCCGGGGACCGTTACCCTGGTTCCTGAAAAACCCCCCAAACTGTTTCCCCCCGAATTCCCAAACTACCCCAACCCGTTCATCCCGGCAACGGAAAACCTCCCGAAGTGAATGAAGGGAACGGGGGCGTGCGGGCCACCCAAAAGAAGGGCCGGACCTAAACCCGCCTAATGATCTTGTTGTTGGTTTGGCTGGTATTGTTGTTAGGTTCGTTTTTGTTGGCTATGTTGGTCCGGGCGCTGGTAGTACTTGTGAGGTGATGGGGGTGACGCTGCTATCGTGGTTGTCGTTGGCGATGTTGGTGTCAGTGTTGTTCACGTCGTGTCCATATATCACCTAGGTAAGCCTGTGGCCACATACCCAACGACAGCAAGCCCTTCTCTACACGGCAGTTTTTGCTGGCACCCGCTGTCGAACAGCTCAGCCCGCCCTTCTCTCGGACATCCTTTCACGTTTCGACCTCTTGTTCCTCTGCGCGAGGGCAGGACCATGTGGGGCTTTATACGAGTGGAAAACGAGCACCTCCGCATTTATGACGGCGGCGGAACCTCCGACGGTTCGGGGAGCCCGGGCCCGGACGCAGGCCCGGGAGCGGCGGGAGGATTCCAGCACATCGCCTCCTGCTCCAGCATGTCGACGATGGCTAGCAGCTCAATCAACAGCAACATTTCCTCTTCGATCGGTGGCGGCGGCAGCGGGCTCGGAGTTCCCATTATGGGAGGAGGAGGCCTCGGCGGCAGCCGGGGGTCGGGGTTGGATAAGCTCCCCTACTCGCGCATGGAGATGCCGTCGTCATCGGGCGGCGGGATCGGCCTGTTGCGCCGCGCGACTAGCCCGTTGAGGGCGTGGTGCTTGATAAGGGTGAGAGAAAGCTTGAGGGCATTTCGGGTAGTAGGAGGAGAGGGGGGTCGATTGTCCGTCACACATCGTTCCCTTCCGTGTTTCAGGTTACCGCGGATTCCCGACACGACGGAGCCACTCTCATAATCGTTTTGAGTGGTCTGGACGCCGGTTCCTACGTGGTGGTGTGGGGAGGTGGTATGCTACACCCAGGCCGTGCATGCGGGCCTTGTGTCTACGGTGCAGTCGTCGCTCGGTATTAGTTGGACAGCCTTGGGACGAAGGAGAGCTCGTCATGTCAACCTTATAATGCTCTGCATTTTTTTCTGGGTGTCATGCTTTATCCGGGGCTTGCTAAATCCGGGGAGTTCTCTCATCAACCGCCTGACTACATGTACAATGAAATATGATAAGGCAGTCATATAAGGCAGTTTTTCGAACGTGTTTTTTGCCCACGAACATCGTTGTGCCACTCTCCTGTGTGCTCGTGTGTTGCCTGATTTTCTTTCTTGGGATGGTGTTCGGACACAGGTGAAGCACGAGTCACGCTGCCGACTGCTGACCGAGCTCTGCGCCTTCTCGGCCGCTCTCGTCTGCGTCGGCTTCCTCGCGGGACTGTCATGACACTCGCGGGACTATCACGACACGTGATGGCGATAGCTGCTGCAGTGTCACCGCCTGGCGCGTTACGTAGTAGTTCGATCTTTTTAGATGAGTTTGGTTGTGGCCACGGCGTTGTTTCGAGGTTTGCGTTTTTGTGGCGTCTGCTACATGTCGCGTTGTCGGGTATTATATCCTTGGTCGTGCCCCGTGTCCTAGTTCTTGGTTTCCTTACGTTGGTGGGGTTGGTTGTTTATCCAAGCGCGCGTTGCAGAGCGAGTGGTGGATGCACAGAACAGATCGAGAGAGACAAGAGACTGACAGACAAGAGACAGGAGGAGCAAAATATCGTCAGAGAAGTAATTGCGAGATCTATGGTGTAAGCGCTTCTTTCGGTTGATTTATTTCCTCTATTATTGTAAGCTTTTCGAGTGTCGTGTGGCGGAGGAGGAACGTTGCATGGCCCTGCTTGGGCGTATAACCACGTACACATGGCGTATGAACTTGGGCGTTCACTGAGCGCTTGCTACAAAGCAGCAAGCGCGTGGTGGGTGTTGCGCCGGCGTGGTGGGTGTGTCCCGTAAAGAGGCCGAAGATGACAGTTTCAGCCGCCTTCCTCCTGCCTGTATCCCGGGTGCCTTTGCCTGGTCCCGCTCTGCTGCCTGATGTCAGAGTACCTCTCGATCATATGTATGTGTGGATGATATCTTGCTGCTCTTTTGCGTGTGTTCAGTTGTTGGTTGTTCGTGTTTTGCGACGATGTATCTCTGTTGGGCTTGTTGCTTGTCGGCTGCATGAGGGGGTGCATGCATTTTTTTCAGTTCCGTTCGCAGTTGGGTTTCTTTCAGAGACACTCGTCTCCTTTTTGCGCTTCCTTCTGAGCCATGTTTCGATTATCGGCTGGCGTTCGGCGGTGTGATTATTGGTAGTTTGTAAATTAGATGAACCTGTGAGACGTATTTTTCGCATTTTTTCGTTTTTTCGTTGGTACTGAGAGAAATCGTTCCCAGGCAGGGTGGTCTCTCTTTCGAAAAAAAAAAAAAAAGGGTCTGAATGTCTTATCAACAAACGTTCTGGTCTGTCTACGCTAAGTACGTTCTTCTCAAATTGGTCCAACTAACGCGGACGCCTTCCGTTGTCACAAGCCAACTGCCCAAAGAAGGGTACCCAAGAGAAAAAAAGAAAATGAACAATCCTCCAAGAAAAAACGGTGGTGAGATGGCAATAACAACAACAACCAACCTGAAGGAAACCAACGGGAGTCGATCGAACGTGACAAAAAAATGAACAAGAATAAATGGGAAAAAAGGTGAGGAAAAACAGCCCCAAACACTAAGGCCTTCGAAGTGTACGTAAGACAAGCAGAGGAGTCAGTCATCGGCCAATCACCCATCATCCATCCAATTCCTTTTGGTTGAGATATGACTAGACTAATATTATTCTACATGATGAAGCTGTGATGATTAACATAGGTATATCCTTTTTCAACATGATATCCTCGCGGACACTGTCACCCGCACGCTGGAAATAAATAAATATAATATCCGATCCCAGGAAAAAAAACATCCGGAGAGAGAGGTAATCGGACCCACACCTTGTTGTGCCGCCCTTGGGAGTCATCATGCACAGATTATTGATTGACCATCGGACCCCGCCACTACTTTAGCCACATGCATTCACTTCAGTATATATATGCATTCATACTTCAACATATATATGTTTAGCTAAATAATAATGCAATAATACCAGGAAACGCGAAAAGCATGAGGATCTGATGAAGAACCAGACAGAGTTCTCAGAATGACTTGTATATCGTGTAGACTAAATACACACATACAATGTTACGCCGGAAAAAAAAGGTTTGACTGAGGTACACGATGGCTCGGGGGAGGCTTCGAACCCCCGCGATCCGTCAATCAAGGGACAAGACCTACTCAACCCCGCCAACCCCATCAGTCCGTGCGGATAAAGCCGATTTTAGCCCTTTAAACTTCAAACCGAACAAATAAATATGAAGACCATTTTTTCGCCCTTCGCCCGCCGACAGCTGTACCTACTACGTAGAGTCCAATATGACATGTTCTTCATATTATTGCATACACTCTTTGTCACAACCATTGCCATCCATGTGGTTCATTTCATTCGTTCCTTTCTGCCACCATCATGGTGCTATGTGCAATGTTGTAGACCTACCCGTCCCACCGAGAGGCTGTGTGTACAGCTGCAGATACAGCAGTCCGCAGTACTCACGGTACGCAGCTGAATAGATGCAGACCACGATTTCCGGATCCCCCCCCCTGCGCTCGTTCCTTTCCTAACAGAGACCCCCCGCCGCGCTGGCTCCGTTCCAGGTTCATCATACAATAAGCATAAGAGCGCCGCGTTGCTGCTGGCAGGTGTTGACTTCTTTGTCTCTGGCCGGCCATCTTTCCCGATCAGACTCAGCTGGGCGCTCGTGGTGGTAGTACATGTGAGTCACCGTTAGAGTGCGGCATCATGAGGAGGGTTAACGGTGGAAGAAGGCGGCTGCTGCAGATGGACTGATTGCTATAATTGTTTTTTCTCGTCTCGTGTCACTATTGCTGTCTTACACTCCTTCGCCTTCTTGGTTTAGGCCCAACCTGGTCTTGTGCAAACAGAGCGCCGAGTCGAACAAAATAGCTCGAGAACCTTGTCATCTAACACACCTCCAGTGCTTGTCTTCCGTGCCGTTGAGCACGCAGTTTTGTTCTTGGTGTTCTACTGTAAGCGAGGGAGCCGATCATGTATCGGAGTATTTGTCCTGCCTGCAGCCTTTCTTCTGAGGTTGTTTAGAGACCACGGCGCGCTTGATGGTTGCCGCCTTTGGGGTGTGCCGGCACTCGCATTGATTTGCTCTATGTGGCATGTCTCTGCGAGAGTATATGGAGAGGCACTGACGGATCTTTACTTTACGCTTGCTTGCAGAGGAAGTCAGGAGACGTTCGTTTGGCTTACAACAGCATGCCGGTGGCGGGAGTCGAAGATACTGATGCGTGTTTGATGGTCGCAAGATCTGTTTATGTATGCATACCGATCACATGTGTTGCTTGGATAGGCATGCAGTGCCAGCCCGTGTCCAATTGCCCTCGCAAGAAAGCGAGGGTCAGATTCTTGGAAACACAACAAGTAAGTGTAGTCTACAGACCAGATGTGACGTGGAAATAAATTGAGTTCAGCCACCGGTACCACGCACCCGTGTGTGTGTGTGTTTTCGTCCTATTATGGCGACAGCAGTCCCCCCATTTTTCGTGGCGAGACGTGTACTACACTTTTCAGCGCATGTAGAGTACTACACTTACTTTTCAATGTATTTTTTCGTACAACAACAATCATCCAGGGTCACACAGGAGGGGGTAAACACCAGGCAGGGCTTTTTCTTCTTATTATTTATTTTCATGCCCACCTTCCTCCTGCGGTGCGTGCTGAATTTTTATTTTTGTCGCGAAAAGGGTGGTCCAGCCGTCCCTTTCCCTCGTCAACGGTGCTTACGTCGAAGTTTGGTACTCACGAGAGCTTTCCAGCTACTTTTCGGTTTCACCCGTAAATTTTGTATTTTTTTCACCCCATGGGGAGTCGAACTCACGACCGCTGCGGCTAGCGGTTTACCAGGATACCACTAGACCACCGGGGCGACTGGTATTATACTATAATACTCTGCTGTACCTTGCGTTGGACTCGACGACATGATCAACAGCGCGGTTCTTGTACATTATAAGTAGTCCATGGGCACCGGTCGTCATGAATCAAACAACGGCAGCTAACGCTCTCTTGTATGTAGAATCATTGGTCCGTAGTCTAGAGCAGCCGCCTCTCACGCATATAACCAATCTAGAGTGAGAATGTGTGAAAGAAGCGTGTTTGATTTTCAAAGCAAATCTCAGACGGGTCGAAAGCAGGTGATTCTGTCCCGCAGACCGTCGTTTGGCCTCCGGCCTCCACCTCCTCTCCCCCGCACAAAGTCTAAAACACTTAAGAGCCCCGGCGTGTGTTGCCTTTGTTGCGCTGTGTGACCCCGGCCGGGTGTGTCCGAAAAACCATCCCGAGAGGTGCAAAAACTTACAGTACACCTCCAGACTAAATGGGATAGCTGCACAAGACACGTACACATGGTCGGTTGTTGTCCCGCTATTTGACCAACGTCTGTTCATTGGTCAGCCGGTCGTAGCACCGTCATTGCTACGTATAGTGGAACGAAATTGATAGAGTTGTTTCCATGACGGCTGTAGGATTGGGACCGGCGCTCCGTGCCGAAAAGGGTGCGTGGCCAACGGTCAACGTTCTCAAGGGAACGCAACAATTGAGCCCCTCCCATGGCCTAACAATTACGGCATGAACGACATAGTATGAGTACACCCCCCCGCTCCCCCCGCACCCCGTTTCGAAGCAGACGATGTCTGAGCCGTCGTGGGGGGTGTCGGATCATACTCGTGCAAGATGGGCTTCGCGGGTGAGGACTTTCCCAAGGCCTACATCACGTCGGCAAGAACGCGAACCGGGGGAGGGCACCGCCGTGTCGTACTCGGAGGGAGGAAATGCGAGGGGTGGGTGCAATTGGCGTGGCCCCGATGGTGCCGCGGTGCATGCGTGCATGCCAACTTTCCCCTCGTACTCGTTCCTGTATCCCTATCGGGGGCATTTGTGTGTTATCTGTCAGCTTCCCCTCTCTGAACTTGACGAGAGAATGCCTTGGACACCAACATCAACAAACACGGCACGCTCTAACGTGTACAATGTACTCATTAGACTATTTGGTTGACCCCGATCTTTTATCCCCCCGCACCCCATCAAAACACCACCGACAACAGCTGATTGGCAGAACGATAGACTTGGAGGCCACGCGGCGCTTAGATGCAGAGATGGATGCGGCCGCCGACAGCGCCGGTAGCCCCGCAAGAGCGGGGGGGGAGCGGGGGGGGGTCAACGGCAAGGGGAAAGCTGCACCCTCCCCCCCCGCCAATGGGCAGCCCCAGCGGGGAGGCAAGGGGGCCGCAGCTTCGCCGGCCGCGCCGGGGGGGCTCAGGAGGGTCAGAAGGGGGCGCGGCGAACGGAGAGGAAAAGGACGGGGGGGACGGGAGGACGGTGTATAGATCGGACGTGGATAGCTTGATGGGCGGCGGGGCGGACATGGACGTGGTGCCGCTTATGGAGGACGGGTTCGGTGAGAGATATTTTCCTCTTGATTCTTCCTCGCAAGGACTGATCTTTTGGTCGAGATTTATAGGATCCCTGTGTGGCCGTGTGGAACCGAGGGCAGGTAACCGAGAGGGTTGTGAAGCATGGCCCAGACGGCATGAATCTGTCTCTTTTGTGGCCAAATGGTTGTACCGATGGGTTAGTTGGCGGTTGCGCCCCGACAAATGTAACACGCTTCCTTGTGTGGTGTAATGTTTCTTGCGCAGCAGCAGGGCTGGCAGCACCGATATAATTGCTTGACACACATATGTCCCTCGACGACTTTTGATGCAAGCGAATCAAGTTGTATCGACGATGGTGTCGATAGCCAGCACACGATCATTGACGCCGAAGCAAAGCAGTAGCGCGAACCAGCGACGGCAAAACGTGTAGGACAAAGCAACATCACACACGCCGCCGGCATGTGTCTCTTCTGTCTCCACGCTATGTATGTACCATCCTTGTTCGGGTGTCAGTGACGGACTGGGACCTAGTGCAGAAGGTGTGAGAGCACGCCGAGCAGACTCGACTCAAGACGAAGCTGTCGGACCACCCGGTTCTCATCTCGGAGAATCCTTTCAACTCTTCAAAGGAGAGGATGGAGTACACGGTGAGGAACCCGCCTTCGCCCTGCTTGCCATAGCTAGGCGCCGACAAAGCCGCCCGTGCTCGTGCTTGTGGTCATCGGCGTCGTCATTGTAGTAGTAGCTGTTGTTGCTGCTGTTGTTTTTGCTGTTTATGGGAGCTGCTGGTGTTGATATTTGTCCTTCGTACTCACAGACCCATGGTTTTATCTTATCGACAATGTCTGGGCGGTGCTGAGCTGAGCTGTTTTGACTGGCTGACTGGCTGAGAACGCCGTGCCTGAGTGTTGTTTGTGAGTGTGGGGTCATTTCACGAGCTGCGCCGATATCGAAAATGGCTCGTTTGTGGTATGGAAAACCATTAGGTTCGTGTCGCATTTAACCCGGGAAAGCACGGGAAGGTGACCCGATGCTATACTCTCTAGAGAGCTCTTGCATGTGTGTGTGTTTTCTCTCGACCAGCATTATTTTGGCCTTCGCTGCCCCACAAGGAGTCGGGCACGTGTGTACATGTGCGTCTCCCGGAGTTGCCTCTTGGGTAGGCGGTTTGGCCTTAACATCGCGCCTCCCCCCCCCGGCTGAATGTTGCACTAGAGATGGGCTGTGTAACCCGGCCATACCCCCCCTCTCCCCTATGGCGAGAATATGTGCAACCCGAATATGCACCCCCCTGCCGCTAAGATTATCATACCCGAGTGAATGTCGATGCCATCACTGACTATCTTCGATACACATCAATGTAGTCACCCCTCTCCTATCGGCTGTGCAAACATCTCACCCCCCCCCGCCCAATCAGGAAATGATTTTGGAGGAGTTCGGCGTTCCCGCGGAGTTCATGTCGAAAGACGCGGTGCTTGCGTGCTTCTCTATAGGTCGGACGACGGCGTCGCTGGTAGACGTGGGGGGGGGGACAGCGCGGAAGCGACACCGGTTTACGACGGGTGAGAAACAGCCTTAGGCGACCGCATCGTTTGCTGGTTCAGGGGGGAGGGGGTTCGCAGGCTGTCGCAGTAGATGCTGGGGAGGGTCCGCAGGCTGTTGTATGGTTTGCTTCTCGTTTGGTACGGGGGGGGTTGGCGCGGGAAAGGGAGGGGATGATGTTGTTGCGCACGGCGGGGGGGGGCTGGTGGGCACTTTTCGTCGACACGCAGGGGTGTTTCTGGTTACGGGACAGAGCACAACGATACTCTAGCCGGCTGTTGTCTGTCCGTCCTGTGCTTTTCTTCAACCGTATTCAATCCCGAACTTCTCCCCAATTCGGCGGCGAGGTGCGTTGCCATAAGCGATTCCGTTCGGAGATTCCGTTCGGCGGTTTGTGCATCCAGTAGCAGAAAAGCCTCTCAGATGACCGTTCAAGCGTGCTACCCCCCCCCCCCCCCCCCCTCTTTCTCTCTTTCTCACTTTCTTCTTCGTGAGAGGGGGTACCGCAAGCTTCCTCAATTATCGCCCAAGAGAAGGGCCCCCTCCTGATACTGAGTTCCCTCCCTCCCCCCCCCCGGGGTTTGCCCTCTGGGTTTGGGTTTTCTTCCCTTG